GATGAAGCCACCATGTATAGTAGCCAGGCCTTCCCATCACCTCCACCATCAAGTAACTTGGATGTTCCAGCTCATCTTGCAGAAGAATTGAATGCCAGACTCACCATTTTCGGAAATTCAGCCACAAGCCAGTCAGCATCCAGCTCAGTAAGACGCTCTTAGATTTTGTTATGGCTTCAGTAGTTTATATTATGCTTATTATACCATTCAACAACTAACTTTTATGTAAAATTTTGTCTTAAATGCAATAATATGTAATAATATGTTAGGGATCTTGGGACTTTATAACATGGGCATTTTTCAAATATCCCCATCAATAGTATGGACCAGAGTCATGGCAGCCAAATTTCCGTTATGTGAATACCCTCCAGACAAAAATCACTAGGGACACATTGGTAATTGAACAACTTGGGTTTATTATTCATTTCGGCAAGGGAGAACACGCACCGTGGTGTTTTGGTAACAGAACGGTAGAAAAGACTTCAAGGATTTGGGCTCCCATTAAGTGATTTTGAAGAGGGTTTTAGGAAGCAGGACTTTGCTCTGTGTGAGATGCTGTTGGGAAGCAGGGATAATTCTATGATTTTGCATCTCAAATCTTATCCGTAGTGAGGCTAAAGCTATGATTAGCAAAGTAGAACAGTCACTCACATTTGCCAGGATGGGGAAATGTTTGGTATTTTGTGGCTTGGACAGTGTTCATGTTTTGTCTATATTCAGCCACAATTATAGAGTGGTCTTGATTTTGTCTTGATCTTACCTATGAGTGCCAGGCCAGCTCCTGGATGTTAGGGACTGCTTTTCTCTCTCCCAGTTATGCTGAAGTTGGTTTTTTGTTTGTCTGTCTGTTTGTTTGTTTGTTTGTTTGTTTGTTTTGAGACGTCTCACTCTGTCACCTAGACTGGAGTGCAGTGGTGCTGTCTTGGCTCACTGCAAACTCCACCTCTCAGCTTCAAGCGATTCTCTTGCCTCAGCCTCCTGAATAACTGGGATTACAGGCGCACACCACCACGCCCAGCTAATTTTTGTATTTTTAGTAGAGATGGAGGAGTTTGACCCTGTTGACCAGGCTGGTCTTGAACTCCTAGCCTCAAGTGATCCACCCACCTCAGACTCCCAAAGTGCTGGGATTACAGGCATGAGCCACTGCTTCTGACCTGAAGTTTTAACATGATATCACAAATGTCACCAACAGGTATATATGAATAAGAACTGATATACTTTGACTGAACAAGGAAATCGATGACATTTTCACTTCAGCCACTACTGTAAAAACTGTTGTCCATAGGGTTCAGAATAAAGTATTCCAACATATGCTTCTATGATGAGAACTTCATAGCTAGCTGTCTAAACTCTATCATCAGGGGAGATTCAGTAGGAGCCAAAGATTACTCTCTGAGAGGATGCTATTTGTCATTTCCAGTTGAAGTTTCCATGCCTGTCATTTAGTTAGTAAATATTTATTGAGAGCAAGTAAATATTTATTGAGAGCAAGATACTATATGCTAGTTACTGAGGATACATCAGTAAATAAAATTAACAATATCTCCTGCCTTCATGGGACTTATAGTCTAGTGCAGAGGAAAGCAAACTACAACCGGTGGGCCAAATCGGCAGCTGCCTGTTATGAATAATTACCACTGAAACACAGCCACATCATTTGTTTAGATATTGCCCATCTCTGCTTTCACACTACATCATCTGAATTGAGTAGTTACAGCAGCAACCATATGGCCCACAGTCAGTATTTACTGTCTGGACCTTAACAGGAAATGTGTGCTAACCTCTGCTCTAGCATCTTCTTCAAGAAGCTTCACAGTAGATAGTTGTACGTGAATATGAATATTCACCAATAAATCTGCCTGCCTGCCTCCTGCCCTTCCTTTCTTCCATTTGTCTGTTCTGTCTTCATTCATTTCATTTTTTCACAGGAGGGTAGGACAGGGCAGTCAAAGACCTAAAGAATAAACTACATTAGGCCGGGCATGGTGGCTCACGCCGATCATCCCAGCACTTTGGGAGGCTGAGGTGGACAGATGGCTTGAGGTCAGGAGTTCAAGACCAGCCTGGGCAACATGGCGAAACCTTGTCACTACTAAAAATATAAAAATAGCTGGGTGTGGTGGTGCACACCTGTAATCCCAGCTACTCAGGAGGCTGAGGTAGAAGAATTGCTTGAACCCAGGAGGCAGAGTTTGCAGTGAGCCAAGATCGCACCATTGCACTCCAGCTTGGGTGACAGTGAAACTCCGTCTCAAGAAAAAAAAAGAATAAACTATATTGATTCACTGGTGATAAATCACATGCAGTCCCATCCCTTTTCTTCCTGGTATTTTTTTTTTACTTAAAGTAATACCTGGCAACCATATAGTGTGATACTATGCAGCCATTGAAGAGAGCAAGGTGGGCTCTAGTGTATATGTCAGATGGAACAATCCCTAAGAGCTGCTGGTAAATGAAAAACAGCAAGGTACAGAACAGTGTGTTTGTTATGCCAGGATTTATGTAAATTACTTAAATGCAGAGCATAAATGTGTGTATGATTTACTCAAGAACGAAACAGGAAACTAGTAACGTTGCTTGCCTCTGAAGAGAGGCAAAGAATGAACAGGATATATATTGTTTGTACCTTTTGGTTTTTTGAGATAGGATCTCACTGTCGCCCAGGCTGGAGTGCAGTAGCATGATCATAGCTCACCGCAATCTCAAACTTCTGAGCTCAAGGGATTCTCCCACCTCAGCCTCTGGGAGTAGCTGGTACTACAGGCACATGCCATTGTACCCCCACTAATTTTTAAAAAAATTTTTGTAGAGACTGGGTATAGTATTGTTGCCTAGGCTCCTTTCAAATTTTATAACATGGATGATTGTTATCTATTTTTAAAAAATATTTTTAAAGCACTGTATGGTTACGGTTACAAATTGAAATTGTATTTAGGTATATAAAATAAAACTTAAGGCTGGGCATCGTGGCTCACACCTGTAATTCCAGCACTTTGAGAGGCCAAGGCGGGCAGATCACATGAGGTCAGGAGTTCGAGACCAGCCTGGCCAACATGGCGAAACCCCGTCTCTATTAAAAATATAAAAATTAGCCGGGTACAGTGGCACGTGTCTGTAATCCCAGCTACTCAGTAGGCTGAGGCAGGAGAATTGCTTGAACCTGGGAGGTGGTGGTTGCAGTGAGACAAGATCGCGCCTCTGCATTCCAGCCTGGGCGACAGAGCAAGACTCTGGCTCAAAAAAATAAATAAGTAAAATAAATAAATAAATAAATAATAAATAAATAAAAATTAAATCTTCCATCTTACCACTAGTGTATGCTCCCTCAGTCACTATTAGTGGTCAAAGACTAAAGAATAAAATGATATTGATTTGCTGGTGATAAATCACATGCATACATATATGGAAACTTTTTCTGTATATTCATAAACATGCATGCATACACATATATTTGTAGGTGATTTTTTAGCCTGAGATCATCTTAAACATACTTTTTGGTAACTTGCTTTGTTCACTTGCTGTCTCTTAGACATTGAACCATTTCAGTATATATAGATGTACTCCTTTAGAAACCAACTAAAACAATCATTATACTCTGGCATATTCCATTGTACAAGTCATCCTTAAGGTATTTCACCAGTCTCCTATTAAAAGACTTTAGATTGTTTACAGTACTATTATAAACAGTACTACAGTGGATATTCTGATTTAATTTGTACGTGCATTGTAAATTTTGATGTCGTTAAATAACAAAACTAAGATATTTCGGATAGTGATAATAGCATGAATAGAAAAACGTAAGGAAAGAATGAACAAGAGATTTCCAGGAAACAAGTAGTCTGGAATGTCCAGGGGGTGGATTGCAAAGTGGGAAGTGGCAGAAGAAGTCAGGAAGAGGCAGGTCGTGGTGCTCAGGAAGCATTGTTTTCTGTGCTGTCATGGGCTTCAGCTCCAGAATGACAGGACTGGCTGTGCACTGCAGGATGCTCTGAACCTGCAGCGTGCAGCATGGAGAATGGACTTAAGGAAGTAAGACTTGCAATGAGGAAACCTATTAGGATATTGCTGCCATTGTCATCGAAGTGACAAAAGATGAAAACTTGAAGTTAAAACAACAATAAAACTAGTAACTAAAGTGGAGAGAGAGTGTATTTGAGAATAGTTTCTGTGAGACATTCAAGAGAAGGTGTCCAGGAGGCAGTCCAGCACCCGGGGCGTGGGAGCTGGATGTGTGAAGGTGTCCACGTAGGGGGCTGAGAGCGACCACGTGCCTCAGCCTGCAGTCTCGACAGCTGCATCCTAGCCAGCCTTCTCTTCCCTGTCATACTTACCCTCACTACCTTAGCTGATGCTCAGAGACAAATGACAAATCTCAAGGTATTCTCCTTCTGTTGTCTTGTTTTTTTACAAGAATCATTCCAGCAGAAGAGGCAGCTTACAAGCCTATACTTTTGAGGAACAACCTGCACTTCCTGTGGTGAGTTTTACCCTCTCCCATCAATCAATAAAAATATAAAACTCAGCATCTCTTTTTATTTTTTATTATTTAGAAGACTAAGTGTGAACGTTTGCCTTACAGGGAACTAATACAGCAGAGAATGTAGGCTCCAGGTGGTGATGTTCAGGGAAAGGCCTCAAAGACAAAACATGCAGAACTGTCTCTCCCATGTTAAAAGCAAAGTCTCTGCATACTGGTGACTGTGGGTGGTATCTGGGCTTGTTGGTTGAAGCGCCGTGCTGGGTAGAGGTGGTCCGCTGCATGCAGCATACAATTCAGGATCACTGTGTCCAATTGCCGATGCTCTGTGTAAGCACATGGCATCCAGCAGCCATGTCTGCCCTGTACATGAAGCATAGCCAGGGTTTCATCACTCAGGTGTGCACTGGCATTGACACGCCTGGCGGCCAGGCTGGAGTTTATCAGTCCCTGGTCTGTTTCTTCCCTGCAGCATCACATCCACCAGTCTACTAAGGCCTTCTGCTTCCTGCTCAGTGCTGTCCCAGTCACAGCCTGGATGGCAGCTTGAACCTTAACCCTGCCTCCATCCTCTTCCTGACACAAGCCTCACTACTCTGAGTTTGTCTCCCTTTTCCAGAGACCCTACTTGTTTTTGAAACTAAAGGAAAACTCCCAGGCTCCCAGCCTCTTCAGCCTACCCTTCTCCTTATCCCCCAACAGAAGCCTCCTGCTGCCTTCATTCCTGTCTATGCTTTTTCTTCCAAGCAGACTGTTCCCATGTCCTGATTCTCTCCCGCTTCTGAGTCTGCGTGCATTCCATTTCCCTGCTTGGAATGGCTTTCTCATTTTCTTCCCCAGCCATCTGGAATTTGGAATGGCAGTCTAGATATCAGCTTTGAAAAACAGGGTATGTTCTAGGACAGCAATGCAGAGGCTTCAAAATCCTCAGCCCATGAGTGGTTTATCTGTCTAAATAACACCCTGCACTAAGAATGGGACACAGATCCTGTGCTGAGGAATGAGACATCACCCACCTATGCATCCATTGCTCTGGTCAATATTGACCATCAACAAGAGGACAGATGCCATTGAAAGACTACCTTCGCCGGCCTTACTGTCACTCACTGTCATCTGTCCAGCCTCCTCCATTAGATCAGAGCCTGCTCAAGTCGAGTTCCTGGTATTTTTCCCTCTGCACCTTATAATGTCCTCTATACAATGAATATGTGGAAGTTCTCATTGACTGACAGACATTCACCCAAGACACTACTTTAGGTGCTTCGGATGAGCAGCAGAATCTTGAGATGATTTATATTTTATGTACCAGAAAAGTTGTTTCCATGCCTTTTTTTCCCCTCAATACATTGATTGGGTGTTTTTTTTTAAGAGCTGTCTTGGAGTGTAATTTACATACCATAAAATCCAGCCATATTTGATCATACAATTAAAGAGTTTTTGTAAATGTATACAGTTATGGAGACATCACCACAATCAAGTTTAAGAACCTTCTGTCAGCCCGAAAAGTTCCCTCAATCCCTATGCCTACTCTCAGTTGCAAGGAACCACTCATCTGCTCTCTATTGCTACAGTTTTGCCTTTTCTAGAAATCTCATGTAAAGGGAGTTGTAGGGTGTAAGCTTATGTGTCTGACCTTTTTCACTTAGCATGCTGTTTTTCACATAGATCCATGTTATTGCATGCCTTTATTAGTGCACGGTATTCCATTGTAGAGAGATATCCACTACATTTATCTGTTCACCAGCTGATGAACATTTGTACAACTGGGCAGCATTTAAATCCATCATTTTGTGATCTAACAGTTCATCACAACTGTCAGCAAAGTATGTAGGGCTCCTGTGTATCTAGTAAGCAGTGTCTTCAGTGTGGAGACTGGTGGTGTTGGTTTTTATGTTGTAAGACACCTTAAGGAGCCACACCAAACCAGGTCTAATCTGCTTCAAAATGACAACAGGAAGGCCAGATTTAGGACTTTTTTTTTTTTTTTTTGGAGACAGAGTCTTGCTGTGTTGCCCAGGCTGGAGTGCAGTGGCGCAATCTCAGCTCACTGCAACCTCCGCCTCCTGGGTTCAAGCGATTCTCCTGCCTCAGCCTCTTGAGTAGCTGGGACTGCAGGCATGCACCACCATGTCCAGCTAATTTTTGTGGTTTTTTTTGAGTCGGAGTTTTGCTCTGTTGCCCAGGCTAGAGTGCAATGGTGCAATCTCAGATCACTGTAACCCCTGCCTCCCAGTTCAAGCAGTTCTCCTGTCTCAGCCTCCTGAGTAGCTGGGATAGGTGCCCACCACCATGCCCAGTTAATTTTTTTTTGTATTTTTAGTAGAGACGAGGTTTCACCATGTTGACCAGGCTGGCCTCAACCTCCTGAACTCAGGTGATCCACCCACCTCAGCCTCTCAAAGTGCTGGGATTATAGGGGTGAGCCACTACACCCAGCCTGGATTTAGGACTATTTTAAGTAAGCCTGGAAAGAACCAAACCTCTCTTTACTCATTTTTAACAAACTAGGATAAATAGCATCTCCTAGCTTTTAGAGAAACAAGGCAGGAGTAACCGTTGATTCAGCAGATAAGCATGATTTCTGTTGTTAGATTACCTGGGTTCAAATCTCAGCTCCATTCCTTAGAAGCAATGTCGCTTAACAGGTTAATTCCATCACTCTCAGCCTTTTGGCTAAGACCAAGTGTAGTAGCAAGTTACTTCTATATTGTAAGCTTCTGTTTACTCATCAGTAAAATGAGCCAGTATTAGTAATTATCTCATTGAAATTCGGGTGGGAAATAAATGACATTATCCGTGTTAAACAGAGCGTGTGCTTGTTATTGTTGGGATGTTTTATTAGGGTTGTTATCACTCTCAACATTATTGTTCTAGTGTTTTTTTTCCCCAAGTGAAATACTGTACGCTTTATTTTGCACATTTTAAAATATTTGAAATGTGGTTTACTTCACTAAAATGTATAATGTACCCATTTTTATTATAATACATGGTTTTAGTTCAAAATAAAATAAAATATGAATTGTTTTAAAGCAAGCAAGTAGTGAAGAAGGGATGTGGTGCTTTTCAAAGGATTCTTTCTTGTTAATATTTAAGTCTTCTGGTCAGGCACAGTGGCTCATGCCTGTAACCTCAGCATTTTGGGAGGCTGAGGCAGGTGGATCACTTGAGCTCAGGAGTTCAAGACCAGCCTGGCCAATATGGTGAAACCCTGTTGTTACTAAAAATACAAAAACTAGCTGTGTGTGTTGGCACATGCCTGTAATCCCAGCTACTCGGGAGGCTGAGGCACGAGAATAGCTTGAACCCGAGAGGCAGAGGTTGCAGTGAGCCAAGATTGCACCACTGCATTCCAGCCTGGACAACAGAGCAAGACTCTGTTTCTCTCTCGCTCTCTCTCTCTCTCTCTATATATATATATATTTCTAGAAAAGGCAAAATTGTAGCAACAGAGAGCAGATGAGTGGTTGTTTCCGGCTGAGAGTAGGGATAGGGACGGAGGGAACTTTTGGGGGTGATAGAAGGATTCTTAAACTTGATGTATTTAATTCTTCTGTTATGCTTCACTGTAGCTTTTGCCTACTTCATCTGGATTACCACCAGGTTGGGAAGAAAAACAAGATGAAAGAGGAAGATCATATTATGTAGATCACAATTCCAGAACGACTACTTGGACAAAGCCCACTGTACAGGTATCCTGCATTTTGTTCACTTCCTTTCTTATAGGATTTCAACTGTCACATCCCTATGTCAACTAGTACATCACTTTGTAGTATACGCTGGATACTTCTAGAATCTTCTTTTTTTTTTTTTTTTTTTTTGAGATGGAGTCTCGCTCTTGTCACCCGGGCTGGAGTGCAATGGCGTGATCTTGGCTCACTGCACCTCTGCCTCCTGGGTTCAAGCAATTCTCCTGCCTCAGCGTCCCAAGTAGCTGGGACTACAGGCCCACGCCACCACGCCCAGCTAATTTTTGTATTTTTAGTAGAGATGGGGTTTCACTATGTTGGCCAGACTGATCTGAAACTCCTATCGCAGGTGATCCACCCACCTCAGCCTCCTAAAGTGCTGGAATTACAGGCATGAGCCACCGTGCCTGGCCGTAGCATCTTCTAATTATTTATTTTCTGACGCTGATGTTAAGTGTCTGCCATTCCCTATGAATCTCTAATATACACGAATTACCACTTGTTATTATATAAAACAAGTTCAAATGAGAATAAGGAAAAAGCAAATGATCTAGTTTTGGGGTATTTTTGTAATTTGAATAGTTAAGATTGTTATTTTAACTAAAAGATAATCTTGTCGATTGGTATCTATTAAAGAAGTTTATGCTGGGCTGGGCAAGGTGGCTCACGCCTGTAATCCCAGCATTTTGGGAGGCCTAGGCGGGTGGATCACCTGAGGTTGGGAGTTCAAGATCAGCCTGACCAACATGGAGAAACCCCGTCTCTACTAAAAATACGAAAATTAGCCAGGTGTGGTGGCACATGCCTGTAATCCCAGCTACTCGGGAGCTGAGGCAGGAGAATCACTTGAACCCAGGAGGCGGAGGTTGCAGTGAGCCGAGATCGTGCCGTTGTGCTCCAGCCTGGGCAACAAGAGCAAAACTTCATCTCAAAAAAAAAAAAAAAAAGTTTATGCTGATGACACCTCCCCTTGGCAATAGTGTCATCTATAATATTTCCTTGTAAGTGTTTAGCAAAATATTTATTTTCTCTTACCACCATGTCTCTTGTTGAGAAATTTTTTAACACTGAAAAGTGCAGAGAATAATATAGCAAATGCACATATTCTTTACTCTCAGAATTACCATCATTAACAAATTACCATATTAATTTCCAGACATTTTATTTTTAAAAATAAAGTCTTATAGATTAAGCTAAATTCCTATTAGCCAAGCTCTTGGTCCCATTCCCCAGGGGGAACCACCATCTTGAATTTCTTGTGTATTCTTTTAGCCTTTTTTATATACTTACATAAAGAGCTTTAAAAATGTAAAATAAAATTAGCCGGGCATGATGGCACATGCCTGTAATCCCAGCTACTTGGGAGGCTGAGGCCGGAGAATTGATCGAACCTGGGAGGTGGAGCTTGCAGTGAGCCAAGATTGCGCCCCTGTACTCCAGCCTGGGCAACAGAGCAAAACTCCGTCTCCAAAAAAAAAAAAAAAGAAAAGAAAATGTAAAATATTGTTTATATGCCTGTGTTTCTAATTTTGCAATGAGAGAACACTCATTTTATTTTACAGAATGAGGTGCTGCTCAATTAAAAAAAACTTTGCCCCATAAGTCTACACCTTTTTTTGCTTAACATTGTTTTAAAGCTCTGTCTATATTGTTATTTATAGATCCAGTGTATTTCTGTTAACTACTAATATTACGTCATGAATATGTTACATTTCACTTATCCATTTCTGTGGTAGATATTTGCCATTCATTTTGTCTGCCCAACATTTGAATCTACTTCTGTGTATGAGGAATTCCCCATCCTGTGAGTTTTGGGAAAACAAAGACGACCTCCTCCTATAGGCACCAGAGCTCCCCTTGCGGCTAGGACTTGCGCTTGTGGACCTCGCTCCTTCAGTCAGATGCACGCACAGCAGACTGTTAACTACCATCTTACTGCTTGAGAATGAGTTGAGAAATTATAAATTACTGTAAAAATAAAGTTATACAAAATAATGTATTGGAAAAGTGTTATTAAATGTTATTAAATGTAATGCATTATTAAAATGTTGGGAAAATATTAATATGCCATAACTACATTTGAAAATGAGCCTCAAATATGTAGAATCTCTTTAATGGAGGGTGTGTATTCTATTTGCAGGTTAGGTTACCTTTTTAACTGCATCTATTTGTGAGTTTTCTCTCTATAAAATATTACAGTATGATTTCATTAATGTGCTAGGCCACAGTGGAGACCAGTCAGCTGACATCAAGCCAGAGTTCTGCGGGCCCTCAGTCACAAGCCTCCACCAGTGATTCAAGCCAGCAGGTGACCCAGCCATCTGAAATGGAGCAAGGATTCCTTCCTAAAGGCTGGGAAGTCCGACATGCGCCAAATGGGAGGCCTTTCTTTATTGACCACAACACTAAAACCACCACCTGGGTAACTTTGACACTCTTCCATTTAAATTTATAACAACAATAATCATCTCTTATGTATAGTTCCTTACAATCTTTAAGTGTGTATTTCTATAACCTGTGTTTCCTAATATTCATTGAAAGATATATTGAATTCTTAATAATATTGTATGTATTCAAGAGAATGCTTATGCCTCTTTTTAATATTGTTTTGGATTATGGAGATATTCATGTTTACTTCCTATTTCCAGTTTTTAGCTCACTAGCCACAAATGCTTAGGAAGATATATAGGAATAACCCTTTGCTTTTATATGAGGCTTTATAGCTCCAAAGCACTTTTGAATCCATATCTCATTTAATATCAGAAAAACCTTGTGAGGCTAGGTAGAACAAGTATTTTTATTTTAAGATAAGGCTTAAAGTTGTTTAGTGCTTGGCTTACTACTAACAGAAAAATTACTTAAAGGCCAGGTACAGTGACTCACGCCTGTAATCCCAGCACTTTGGGAGGCTGAGGGGGACAGATCACAAGGTCAGGAGATCAAGACCATCCTGGCTAACATGGTGAAACCTCAGCTGCTTGGGAGACTGAGGCTGAAGAATGGCATGAACCCAGGAGGTGGAGCTTGCAGTGAGCTGGGATCGCACCACCGCACTCCAGCCTGGGCAACAGAGCGAGACTCCATCTCAAAAAAATAAATAAATAAAAAGAAAAATTACTTAAAATTAGCAGCAGATGAATAGATTTTAATTATTAAAAGACCAACATAGCTTAAATAATACTAAAATTATTTAATAAATTAATACTATTAAGATAATATATGTAAATTAAACCAAATAAATTGAATTTTGTTCTCTTTTTTAACATTCTGAATTGGCCTTTGATAACGTTTTTGGGCTTACCTTCCTGTTATTCAAAAATATTAATCAACCCTTGAACAGATAGCTGGCAAAATGTATGTTCTGGGGCTTAGAAATATCATGTGGTCCAGGGCCGGGCACGGTGGCTTACGCCTGTAATCCCAGCACTTTGGGAGGCCAAGGTGAGTGGGCCATCTGAGGTCAGGAGTTCAAGACTAGCCTGGCCAACATGGTGAAACCCCATCTCTACTAAAAATACAAAAATTAGCCGGGCATGGTAGTGCATGCCTGTAATCCCAGCTACCCAGGAGACTGAGGCAGGAGAATCCCTGGAACCTGGGAGGCAGAGGTTGCAGTGAGCTGAGATGGTGCCATTGCATTCCAGCCTGAGTGACAAGAGTGAAACTCCATCTCAAAAAAAATCAATGAAAGAAATATCATGTGGTCCAATTTAATGTCCCACTCTTTCACCAGTTTTTACATAGAGAAAAGCCGTATGTGACACATTTCCTAAAGCGTGGGGCAAAAGAGATTACCAGTTAGTGGTGATCCCTGAGAACTGCTCCTTATTCCTTTTGATATTATAGCCTGAGAGTGATAGATTTTAGAAGGAGAAAATATTATGTCACATATTTAGGAAATAAAGTATAAATTGACTTTTACAAGAGAATATTTTAAATATCCATTGATGCTAGAAAACATGGTAACAGACTGACTTTCATTATTTTAAAATTTGTGTGTGTGTATTGTTCTTTATTTACTCTACCAAAAAAGGAAGATCCAAGATTGAAAATTCCAGCCCATCTGAGAGGAAAGACATCACTTGATACTTCCAGTGATCTAGGGCCTTTACCTGTAAGTGTATAGAAATGCTAACCCATCTAACTTGGCTATCTCAAATATTTTGTATTTTTGGATATAGTCGTTCTTTATCAGCTATAATTAATATTATTATTAAAATGTAGGCTGGGCGCGGTGGCTCATGCCTGTAATCCCAGCACTTTGGGAGGCTGAGGTGGGTGGATCACGAGGTCAGGAGATCCAGACCATCCTGGCCAACACGCCATGTTGGCGAACACGGTGAAACCCCGTCTCTACTAAAATACAAAAAATTAGCCGGACGTGGTGGTGGGCGCCTGTAGTCCCAGCTACTCGGGAGGCTGAGGCAGGAGAATGGCGTAAACCCGGGAGGCGGAGCTTGCAGTGAGCCAAGATAGCGCCACTGCACTCCAGCCTGGGTGAGAGAGCAAGACTCCATCTCAAAAAAATAAAAATAAAATTAAAAATTAGAAAAAGTTGATACCTTCTAAGAATCGAATGGAATATGCAAGTTAACCATACAACCAGTGCTGTTTTTCTATCCATTCATCTAAAACCCTATCCTAACATAATTGAAATACATTCTTCATTATAGCCAGGATGGGAAGAGAGAACTCACACAGATGGAAGAATCTTCTACATAAATCACAGTATGTGCAATGCGATTTTTCATTATGTTATTTTTTGTAATAAATTTTATGTGTGAGAAAGTACACCATTTTTCTTTTTCTTCCCTTCAGATATAAAAAGAACACAATGGGAAGATCCTCGGTTGCAGAATGTAGCAATAACTGGACCAGTAAGTCTCTCTGTGCCGATGTGCTCTGATGGGACTGTCCCCTCACCTGTCTCTTCAAGAGCAGATACTCAAGGGCATAACCCTACAGGCATTGAGAGGAAAGCACATTGGCCATTCTCTCTCCTCTCCCCCATTTCCCATACTCCAAGTCTCAGTTATTTGAAACGATTCTATGACGTCATTATCTTTACCCTATGCAATAGCAGTGGGAGACAGGTGAGCCAGACGGTCGGAATGCTAAGGCAGTGTGGGCTGCCGAACTCAGGCGGGTGCCTGCCACTGTCTGAACAAGAATGTTGACAGTCCTCCACAAATCAGAGAGGAGCGGAGAGTGTATCCAGATGAGGAAGTAGCAGCACCCTATCCACTCCAGGGTCATTCTTAAATTGTTTTATAGAAATCAGGCCAGGCTCACACCTGTAATCCCAGCATTTTGGGAGGCCAAGGCAGGTGGATCACCTGAGGTCAGGAGTTCAAGACCGGCCTGGCCAATATGGTGAAACCCTGTCTGTACTAAAAATGCAAAAAATATTAGTTAGGCATGGTAGCAGACACCTGTAGTCCCAGCTACTTGGGAGGCCGAGGCAGGAGAATCACCTGAACCCAGGAGGCGGAGGTTGCGGTGAGCTGAGAGATTGCACCACCACATTCTAGCCTGGGTGACAGAGCGAGACTCCATCTCAAAAAAAAAGAAAAAGAAAAAGAAATCATTGTAAATGCCCAGTATGTAAGACACATCCACACTTAAGTATAAATATTACCATGTATGATAACTGTAGTCAGATAGGAAAATTATTATCCTTTTTTATAGCTGCTTTTTCCATTTTATTCAGATTTTGTTTTCTAATTCATAAAAATAAAACTGAAGATACCTTTTTTTATTACTATTTACTATCTCAACATGTAGTCCTTTAATGGCTCAAAAAGGCAATTCCTTGGAGTTCAAGGAGAAAGTACGCTTTTCACATTGCCTGTTTAATGGAGAAATCACTTTGAAAGTCTCTTTAGAAATGGAAATTTTTGTTTCTAGTATTTCTCTACCTGGAAGAAATTTCCTATTTCTGGCATGCTGCATTTTGAGAATATTGCATAATGAAAATTACAGCCATAGGAATTGCTGAATATAATTTTGTCTTAAACAGAGAAATTAAATATTTTAAAGTTTTGTATTTGTTTTTCTTCTAATTAAACTTTTCTTTCCAAATATTTTTCTTTTCATGCCCTTAACTTATGTTCATAAAATACCCTGCCGGGAACTTTAAAAATTGTTCCAGCATAAAAACAACCTAAACTTCTTTATTTTTCCAAAATTTCCCACTAAAGGCAGTGCCCTACTCCAGGGATTACAAAAGAAAGTATGAGTTCTTCCGAAGAAAGTTGAAGAAGCAGGTTAGTGATGTTTGTGATAAATACTTGAGTCATCAATATATAGATGGAAAGTAATGGGAAATTTTTTTAAGTAATAATTTGTTCTATATTTGTAACAACTTTGAGTGAACAGTTTTTCATAGAGAAAGGATGCTTATTTTTTGTGTAGCTGTGATATATCACTACAGGCCACTGATTATTTTATGTCTTTATTTTGTAAGATATTTTATCATATAGAAAAATGGCATTTAAAGTTTGCTTTCCAGAGCTCTAACCTGATGTATCCTTGTGGGGTTTATGGGGCTTGATCTTTGTAGAACCTGAGCAAGAGTGGCTCAGGAAATTATCTTCTGGCCTAGTCTTTTGACTGTGTTGGAGGAGTCTGGATTTGTTTTATGACTTTGTTGTTTTCTAGCGGTAGTCATTCATTCTCTACAGCTTCAAATGTAATGTCTCTGCATAATTTAAAAATACAATCATGAGTGGAACTGTGCTCTTGTGACTTGTCTCCGTATGCTTATCAGTTATGTTCACTACACTTTTTCCCATCACCACAAATGCAATATGTTTGGAACTAAACTCATCATCTGGCCATCTATTTCATTTCTGTTGGTGTCTGCTAGTTTTAGTGCCTCTCTTCCTTGCTCATCCTGTCCTCCTTTGCCTGCAGTTTAGGAATACTACCACTAGGTGGCCATATTGGGTTATACTTTCTTGCATTCTAAGCCAGAAGCTGGCTTTCACAAAGATTCAAGATGGTGGGTCGGCTACCTCAGATTTTCACCCAGACTTTTAACAAAAATAAAATATGATAGTTTTTTTAGTGTAAACATTTTATGCCCTAATAAAATCCTTAAATACTATCAACTTTCTAAACTCATTTTTAAAGATAATTTTGTGGGCCAGGCGCAGTGGCTCACACCTGTAATCCCAGCGCTTTGGGAGGTTGAGGCGGGTGGATCACTTGAGGTCAGGAGTTCCAGACCAGCCTGGCCAACACGGTCAAACCCCCATCTCTACTAAAAATACAAAAATTAGCTAGGTGTGATGTTACACGCCTGTAATCCTGGCTACTCGGGAGGCTGAGGCAGGAGAACCACTTGAACCCGGGAGGCAGAGGTTGCAGTGAGCTGAGATCACTTCACTGCACTCCAACCTGGGCAACAGAGTGAGACCCTGTCTCAAAGAAAAAGAAAAAAGAAAAGATAACATTGTGTCAAAATTTCCCTGGAAATTTGTTTTCTACTTCTAGATTTTGGGATTTTAAATGTTTGCTGATTCATTGTTCTGGTAAATGTTTTCATTCTTAATGAGAATATGCTGGAGGAATAGAAGCACTAGCTTCTCCATTTGCCACTTTAAGTGGTTGAAACATGTTGTAGTATCTAATTGTTAATGTCTTCCAGGCAGCAGGAGATGGGAGGCAATGCCATTACAGGCCACAAAATTTAAAAAAAAAAAAAAGATAAAAGCAATTATATTTGTTGATCTCTCACTGCATACCAGGCATTCTTCTTAGAAGTTTACATATGTTATTCATTTAATGTCTACAATAACTCTGTAAGGAAGGGACTACTATTACATTTCACAGATGAGGAAACTGAGGCACAGAGAGAATAGGTAATGTGATCAAGTCCCATGGTTATTAAGTAGAAAAGCTAAGTGGTCTAGCTCCAGATCCCATGTTCCTAAGCAACATGACATATCATATTGGTGACTAAGAGAATTAAGAGAGAAATCAATTAATTTGTATGGAAATTACCCAGAATGCAACAAAGGTAGGTAAAGGAATAAACATATAAAAGAAAGGTTAAAAGACATGAAGTCGGCCAGGCATGGTGGCTCACGCCTGTAATCCCAGCACTTTGGGAGGCCGAAGCGGGCGGATCACAAGGTCAGGAGATTGAGACCATTCTGGGTAACACAGTGGAACCCTGTCTCTACTAAAATTACAAAAAATTAGCCAGGCGAGGTGACAGGCGCCTGTAGTCCCAGCTACCTGGGAGGCTGAGACAGGAGAATGGCATGAACCCGGAAGGCGGGGCTTGCAGTGAGCCGAGATCACGCCACTGCACTCCAGCCTGAGCTCTGGACAGAATGAGACTTCGTCTCAAAAAATAATAATAATAAATAAAATAAAATAAAAGGACATGAAGTCACTCCAGAAGGAGGAGACCAAGATCATAAGGAGGAGAAGGATAAGAATATGAATTCTCACATTAATAAAAAGGCCCAAGCAGTATTTTAAAAATAAAATCTGTATCTAGACACATCATAGCAAAAGAGCAGAACACTTAGAATGTAAGAACGTGTAGCACCAAAACAGAGAGAAAGAATATTAAAAACACCAGGTGCAGTGGCTCATGCCCGTAATCCCAGCACTTTGAGAGGCTGAGGCAGGAGGATTACTTGAGCTCAGGAGTTCAAAGCTGCACTGAGCTATAATCATGCCACTGCACTCCAGCCTGGATGACAGAGCAGTACTCTGTCTCAAAAAAAAAAAAAAAAAGAAAAATTAAAAACCGGTGCTTGAAAGCCATGCACTGTCTTTAACCTTTTCCTCTTCCTTATTCTCAACATCTTGTAGTTAGGAATAATGATGGCTAATAATTACCATATGCCAGATACTGTGTAAGCATTTTTAATGCATTATTCCATTAAGTCTTGAAACAACTCCATGTGGATAGCTATCATCATTATTATCCCTATTTTATGGATGAGGAAATTAATCCTTAGAAAAGACATGTAACCTGTCCAAAGTCTCACTCCTAATGAATGGTGGAGTCAAGATTTGAACACAGGGCCAGATTTCAGAATGCATGCACTTGTCTACTACTCAGTTCAAACACTCAAGTTTCTCCTGTAACCCTCTCTTCTTCCACTAGCATTGCTCCTTCACAGGTCCCTCTGTCTTCTCTCACTGAGCTATTCCAGGGATCTTTAACTGACCAGTGTGCCTCTTGTTTCTCCTCCTTAAAACCACCCTTTACACCCTGTCCCTCAGCTTCTGAGAACCCAGCGATCTGACCATGTGGCTTTCCTACTCAGAAACTCTCTTCTCATCTGCATTCACACTGTCCACCCTCTGCCCCCAGACTGCTTTGTCACATTTTTTAACTATAATCCCTGCTTTCTTTCCCTTCCTCTCTCTTCTTCTCCTTCTGTACCCTGTAGGTATTAAATATATCAGATCTCTCATGTATGCTGTTCCTCCATCCTTCCCTCCCTTTCTCTCTGTCTAAAGACTTCCTCTCAAAGCCTTCTTGATTGCCTCATTTGAAGTCAATAGCTCAGTCTTTTATGCCCTGCAGAACATTGCTTCCATCTCTTATCATCAGCAATTGTCCTCCTATTTTAAGTCTCAGAATTAGCAGCATTTACACTTGTTTTTCACATATGCACCAGATGAGAAACTCCTTGAGGAAGCAACGACATCTTACCCTGTGTTTTTATTCTTTTTATTCCCCATTGTTGGCCCTACTACAGTACCACCTGGCCCAAGTAGGCCTTTGATAAATGCTTACCTGCACCAGCTCCCTAGTATCCAGTCTAAAGTTACTTTTCTGCAAGCTTACCATTTTTTTAGTGACATAAGCAGTACAAGAAACTGCTCATATCATGCTTATATTGCTTATATCAACTGCTTATATTATTATGTTTCTATAGGGCTTTCCATTTTCCCTAAATAGAGAATGAAATTGATTTTTTTTCCTTAGAGCTAACCTTCTTTTTTGGAGGTGACAGAATGTTGATGGCATGTTTTCTCTTACTGGTTTCCCGTGGAAATTTGCCCACGAAGTACTGAGGAATAAAATATTTAGATATATCTTTTGTAAAATGTACAAAAAAGTCTGCCTAAAGCATAGTTGTGTACATTTGTCACATAAGCAAAGAATGTACAAAAGATTAGTGAGGCAATGTAGCTCCATTAATTAAGAGTACAGACTCAGGAGCTAACACTTTCTTAAGTAGTCTTCTTCAGTTTTATATGTAAAATGAAGACAATAAGAATAGCTTTTGCATAGTGTTGTTTTAAAGTTAAATGAGTTAACCTACCATTCCAGGGGACCCATGCCTCGCTGTATTCGTCCGTTTTCATGCTGCTGATAAAGACATACCCGAGACCAGGCAATTTACAAAAGAAAGAAGTTTATTGGACCTACAGTTCCACATGGCTAGGGAGGCCTCACAATCATGGCAGAAGGCAAAGAAGAGCAAGTCACATCTTACGTGGATGGCAGCAGGCAAAGAGAGAGCTTGTGCATAGAAACCATTAGATTTCATGAGACCCATTCACTATCACGAGAACAGTGCGGGGAAAGACCCGCCCCCATAATTCAATCACCTCCCACCGGGTTCTTCCCACGCCACATGGGAATTGTGGGAGTTACAATTCAAGATGAGATTTGGGTAGGATCACAGCCAAAACATATCACTGGCACAATCTGTAAATGTCACCATCTGTTAATGAGTGAAGGAAGATAGACTCCAGGGAGGAAAGTAGAGGTAGGGAAAACCCTGAACAGACAGGCAGGCAACAGCTAGCAGGCAGTGGCTATCCTACAGGTCACAGAACGGTGTTCATTGGAACTTAATATGAAAAGGACTGTTAATGAAATGCCTTCATGGGGGCATTACCATCACCATCAATAGCTTCTTTAGGCTGGGTGCCGTGGCTCATTCATGCCTATAATCTCAGCACTTTGGGAGGCCAAAGCGGGAGGATTGCTTGAACTTAGGAGTATGAGACCAGCCTGGGCAAGATGGCAAGACCTCAAAAACTTAAAAAATTAGCCAGGCATGATGGCACGCGCCTATGGTCCAGTTACTTAGGAAGCGGAGGCAAGAGGATCACTTGAGCCCATGAGGTCAAGGCTGCAGTAAGCCATGTTCACGCCACTGCACTCCAGCCTGGATTACAGAGCTGTCTCCAAAAACCAAAAAGCTTCCTCAGATATAAAGAAGTCTATATTACTAAGTAATTAGAGAAAATGCAGGAACTCTATCATACCGTAGAGGAAACCAAGACAATATACCAAGTTGTGTTTTCCCTGAGTATATTACGTAAGGAAAAAGAGACTTGGACACAGGGTGTAGAGGGAATGTTATAACTTTATGAGAGAGAGGTTTGTGATTATGTTGAACTGATTTAAACAGTAAGTCTCTCCTCTGGATTTTCAGAATGACATTCCAAACAAATTTGAAATGAAACTTCGCCGAGCAACTGTTCTTGAGGACTCTTACCGGAGAATTATGGGTGTCAAGAGGGCAGACTTCCTCAAGGCTCGACTGTGGATTGAGTTTGATGGTGAAAAGGGATTGGATTATGGAGGAGTCGCCAGAGAATGGTTCTTTCTGATCTCAAAGGAAATGTTTAACCCTTATTATGGGTTGTTTGAATATTCTGCTACGTAAGTACCTTTACAATGATTATAGGCAGAAAAAGAAAAATCACTGCTTTAAAAGTAAGAGTCAAATGATACAAGGAAAATATATGTCATGCCAGAAAAGGGCAATTTTAACTAATGTTGCTTCAGAAGTGACTTTTTTAAAAGTTGTGGTGAAATACACATTACATAAAATTTACTGTTTTAGGCCAGGCGCGGTGGCTCACGCCTGTAATCCCAGCACTTTGGGAGGCCAAGGCAGGTGGATCACGAGGTCAGGAGATCGAGACCATCCTGGCTAACACAGTGAAACCCCATCTCTACTACAAATACAAAAAAAATTAGCCGGGCATGGTGGCGGGCACCTGTAGTCCCAGCTATTTGGGAGGCTGAGGCAGGAGAATGGCATGAACCTGGGAGGCAGAGCTTGCAGTGAGCCGAGATCGCATCACTGCATTCCAGCCTGGGTGACAGTGCGAGACTCCGTCTCAAAAAAAAAAAAAAAAAATTACTGTTTTAACCATTTTAAATATACCATTTTGAGTCATTACATACATTCACATTGTTGTGCTGCCATCACCACCATCCAACTCTAGAACTTTTTCATCTTCCCAAAATAAAACTCCGTACCCAGTAAGCACTTGCTCCCCATTCCCTGGCAGCCACCATTCTGCTTTCTGTCCCTGTAAATTTGACTCCTCTGGGTACCTCACATAAGTGGAATCATTCAATATTTGTATTTTTGTGACCGGCTCATTTCACTTGGCTGATGTCTTCAGGGTTCATCCATGTTGTAGCATGTATCAGAATGTCCTTCCTTTTTAAGGCTGAATAATATTCCATTATTTTTGCATATAATGCTTTGTTTAGGCCAGGCGCGGTGGCTCACGCCTGTAATCCCAGCACTTTGGGAAGCCGAGGCAAGTGGATCACAAGGCCAGGAGTTCAAGACAAGCCTGGCCAACATAGTGAAACCCTGTCTCTACTAAAAATACAAAAATTAACCAGGCATGGTGTCGGGCACCTCTAATCCCAGCTACTTGGGAGGCTGAGACAGGGGAATCACTTGAACCTGGGAGGCGGAGGTTGCAGTGAGCTGAGACCGTGTCATTGCACTCCAGCCTGGGGAACAGAGCAAGACTCCATCTCGAAAACAAACAAACAAACAAACAAAACTTTGTTTATGCATTCATCTGCCAAAGGACATTTGGGTTATTTCCACTTTTTGACAGAAATTACTATTTTTAAAACCATTAAATTCAGTGGAGGAATGTGGTTCTAACAGTAGTAAACAACTCTTAAAAGAGGAAGATTATTTATAATTATTTGTCATATTCAAGTGTTTCAAATGAAGTATTTAAATGGGGTTGTCTTTACAGGGACAATTATACCCTACAGATAAATCCAAACTCTGGATTGTGTAATGAAGATCACCTCTCTTACTTCAAGTTTATTGGTCGGGTAGCTGGAATGGCAGTTTATCATGGCAAACTGTTGGATGGTTAGTATTAAGTATAAGCTTTTACAATGTAATTACCTGTTGTCTTTCACTTGGTAATCATCCTAAATGTATCTGGTTTTTTGCAAGGTTTTTTCATCCGCCCATTTTACAAGATGATGCTTCACAAACCAATAACCCTTCATGACATGGAATCTGTGGTATGTTTTTTTCACTTATAGTTTAGACAAAGTATAATTTAATAAGTAACTTGAACATTTTGAGGAATTTGCTTTTAATGACATGGAAATTAATATATTATGTTTCAAAATACAAATTAATTTTTTCCTCAACATTTTATTATGAAAATTTTCTAACGTTTAATAAAGATGGAAGTATTTTACACCGCACACTTGTATATGCATTACTCACAATTGGTTTTTTCTAGATTTACTGTATCACATACCTATCTGTCTATCCATCAGCCTATCTTAGTTTCTTCATGCATTTCAGAGTAAGTTATAGATAACAGTAAACATCCCACTAAATACTTCAATAGGTTGTACAAGTTATGTGTCTTTGGAATCAGTATTTGCATTACGATCTTTTGTGATGAATATTGCGTGTGTGTGTGCGTGTGTGTATATATATATATATATTTTTTTTTTTGAGACAGAGTCTCGCTGTGTTGCCAAGCTGGAGTGCAGTGGCGTGATCTCGGCTCACTGCAACCTCCGCTTCCCAGGTTCAAGCAATTCTCTGCCTCAGCCTCCCGAGTAGCTGGGACTATGGGTGCGCGCCACCTCGCCCAGCTAATTTTTGTATTTTTAGTAGAGACGGGGTTTCGTGTTCGCCAGGATGGTCTCCATCTTTTGACCCCATGATCCACCCGCCTTGGCCTCCCAAAGTGCTGGGATTACAGGCGTGAGCCACTGCGCCCGACCATATGGTGTATATTTTTAAAATGGCAGTCGAAAGGCAAAGCATTATGGTTAGGCTCCTAGAAAAAAAACAGAAGCCCAAGGATTAAACCCCTGACTGTAGCCATGTTGTTTCCTGTGCTGCTGAATAGCCTCACACAATGTGTGTACACATTAATTCTAGGACATCTTCCTTAGTACCAAGTTCATTTTTTATTTTCTTATTACATATTAACAGCACAAACAGTGTGCTTCTTTATAAATCGTAAGATTGCACAGTTATTTGAGTTGGTTCATTGAGCCTCTATATTTATTTAGAGATTTTTCTTTAACTCGGGCTGGGTATAAACAATTGCCTCCTCATAGCTACTTAAACATTTCACACACAGTGCCGGACACAGGGGTGCGCAGCTGTAATCCCAGCACTTTGGGAGGCTGAGGCATGTGGAACTTGAGGTCAAGAGTTTGAGACCAGCCTGGCCAACATGGTGATAGCCTGTCTCTACAAAAAATACAAAAATTAGCCGGGTGTCGTGGTGCATGCCTGTAGTCCCGGCTACTCAGGAGGCTGAAGTAGGACAATCACTTGAGCCAAGGAGGTCGAGGCTGCAGTGAGCCACAATCACCCCACTGCATTCCAACCTGAGGGACAGAGCAAGACCCTGTCTCAAAAAAAAAAAAATTAAATTAAAAAATAAAAATAAAACATTATAGTCACGTAGGCATATGAGGAATGTGCTAAGTGCTCCTGGATATCCAAAGCCAAAAGTTAGGTTTTATCTGAAAACTTCTGTATTCATTCCTTTAACTGGATGATACAATCTGTACCTCCACTGCTTCCACATAAACATAGATTCTGAACTTTTAAGTAGGCACCACTTGATTGATTGATTGACTGGTGCATTTTTACTCTTGCCCTTACCTGTCATCCATCTCTTTTTGTAATACACACACATACACACATACATTTTTGTTTATGTGTGTAAGTAAAGGATGTCCATCTGACCTCTCATCTTTTACCCAATTACTCAGCCCCTCTACATATTGTTTTTTTGCAATTTCAGCTGTGTTATATGTACAAATTTTAAATATGTAATTTTTCCCATCTAGGATAGTGAATATTACAATTCCCTAAGATGGATTCTTGAAAATGACCCAACAGAATTGGACCTCAGGTTTATCATAGATGAAGAACTTTTCGGACAGGTTTGTTAATTTTGATCAGTTAAAATGGCACATAAATTGTGAAACAAATGTATAGATGTTAATATGTACACTGAATACATTCCTAGGCTCTGTTTTTACATTTATTTTCCAGTAACAAAAACTGTCTCTCAGCAAGACTTTGTGCTTTCTTTAACATTTGACTCATTCCATATTTATTTTAGTAAAACTAATATTTTAAGTTTTCTTAGCTTTTAACTTATGACTGGACTTAATTTAAAACACCAGGTTTCTTGTATAACTACAATATGTATACTTTTTAAATTTTTCTCAGTAAAATAACATATATCAAGTTATTGTGTTTAATTTTAGACACACCAACATGAGCTGAAAAATGGTGGATCAGAAATAGTTGTCACCAATAAGAACAAAAAGGAATATATTTAGTAAGTATTTTGTTAATAATTATTTTACGGGACATAATTTTGTACTTTACTCCAAAAAGACTCCGCTTACCATCTTTTTCTGTCCCCTTGGCCAGAATCTCAGTGTTCTTTTTCTCTATCACAATGCAGTAGCGAGCACTCATATTCAGCCTTTGCATTGGGCTCAGCTAGCCTTTAGTTTTTGTTTCTAACTAGAATAATTGTGACTCAGAATTTTGTCTTGGTTCACGTGAAAATGAAATGTTGTTTCTTTTTAGTCTTGTAATACAATGGCGATTTGTAAACCGAATCCAGAAGCAAATGGCTGCTTTTAAAGAGGTATTCGTTTTCTTTTATTTGCTCTTCCGTAATTTCATAGTATAACCCATAAGTTTCTTTTTTTTCATTATTATACTTTAAGTTCCAGGGTACATGTGCACAATGTGCAGGTTTGTTACATGTGTATACATGTGCCATGTTGGTGTGCTGCACCCATAAGTTTCAAATATTGGGCCTCATCATATCTGAGAAAAATAAGTGTATGGCTTGTTTTGTGAAATCATTCTAAATTATATTTTTATGTTAACTAAATATTTCATTCAGTCATTCAAGAAGTCTAGACAATAAACATTGACAGGTCCCCTTTCCCCCAAGCCTTTTCCCTATTTCATTCCCTTCACCTTAGGACAGCAAAAGAACAAGAGTGCTTTAGGCGTAGTATAACATATTGTCTGTTTTTCTAAATAGGATCACCTTAGACATTTTGTTTTGTGACTTACTTTCTTCTTTTTTTTTTTTTTGAGACAGAGTCTCACTCTGTCACCCAGATTGAAATGCAGCGGCCTGATCTCGGCTCACTGCAACCTGTACCTCCCAGCTTCAAGCAATTCTCCTGCCTCAGCCTTCCGAGTAGCTGGGATTACAGGTGCCCGCCACCACGCCCAGCTAATTTTTGTATTTTTAGTACACACAGGGTTTCACCATGTTGGTCAAACTGATCTCGAACTCCGGACCTCAAGTGATCCACCCGCCTTGGCCTCCCAAAGTGCTGGGATTATAGGCATAAGCCACCGCACTCGGCCTACTTTCTTCTTTTATCAGATATTTATTGGGGATATTTACATGTGAAAACATATAGCTGCCTTTCTTTGTGGCTATATTTTATTCAGAATATAAATTAGTAAGTTACTTAAAATTTCCCCAATTGGTAGACAGATTGTCAGAGCACTCATTTCTTAAGATAATTTACAATCTTCTGTTAAATAAGTATCTGGCTGGGCGTGGTGGTTTATGCCTATAATCCCAACACCTGAGGAGGATGAGGCGGGAGGACTGCTTGAGCCCAGAGTTTGAGACCAGCATGGACAATATAGGGAGACCTTATCTCTATAAAAAATTAAAAATTAGGCTGGGCACAGTGGCTCATGCCTGTAATCCCAGCACTTTGGGAGGCTGAGGCTGGTGGATTGCCTGAGGTCAGGAATTTGAGACCAGTCTGGCCAACATGGTGAAACCCCATCTCTACTAAAAATACAAAGAAATTAGTTGGACGTGGTGGCGTGCACCTGCAGTCCCAGCTACTCGGGAGGCTGAGGCAGGGGAATTGCTTGAACCCGAGAGGCAGAGGTTGCACTGAGCTGAGATCACGCCACTGCACTCCAGCCTGGGCAATGGAGCGAGACTTCGTCTAAAAAAAAAAAAAAAAATGAGCTTGGTGTCATGGCATGTGCGTATAGTCACAGCTACTTGGGAGGCTGAGGCTAGAGAATCACTTGAGCCTTGGAAGTTGAGGCTACAGTGAGCTATGAGCTATGATGGCACCACTGCACTCCAGTCTAGGCTACAGAGTGAAACCTTGTCTCTAAAGTGTGTGTGTGTGTGTGTGTGTGTGTGTGTGTGTGTATCACATACTTTTTCATAAATTCCGTATTGAGTACTATGTGTATGGTGCTGTACCAGGCCAAAAGACATAAGTCCTGCTCTTAAGGGATGTATGATGATGTAAAGAGAGAAATGAACAGAGGCAAGCATAAAGTGCTAGGTGAGCAGAGAAGAGTGCAAACCAGGGAGGGGCAAAGGAAGGGACAAAGAAGGACTTAGAGGGATTGGCCAACCATGGAGAAGAGGGAAATGCAGTTCTAGGCAGCAGGAGCAGCGTATGTGAAGTCTGGCAGTAAGGTAGGCTGTACCCACAGGCAGTTGAGTATGCTGGGTGAGAGAATGCAAGAGGGAAACAGTCAGCCTGCAGAGCTAACAGACCAGCTTATACAGGGCCTGTGTGTGAAGCGGTAGAGTTTGGAGTTTTCTCTGAATTTCAGTGAGGGGGAAGGAAGGTAGCATTAAAGGCTATTAACCAGTAAGACACCAAGATTCAATTTATGTTTTAGATCATTCTGGAAGTGCCATGTAGAGCGAGTTAGAGGAGAGCAAGACTAGCAGCAGAGACTTCCCAGCAGAGTTGGGAAAGGGCTACATAATCTTGGTGAGAAATGGTAAGGAATTAAGGGAATGGTGAGGGAGTTGAGACAGGAGTGGGAAGGGAATGAAGATAGTGGTGGTGGTCAGAGCTTCATGTGCATTTGAATGGCATTCAGAAAGGGAGACTTCAAGGATAGAGATGTATGGATTTGGGGCTCATTTGCCTACGTGTAGTGAAGCTGCGAACTCAATACGATGGAAGATGTGAAAGGGCAGTGAAAGTGGATGGCCTGACATGTGGAGAGTGAACTGGGAACACCAGCATCTTAACTGTTGTTTTGAATGGATGGTTTATGAATGGACAGGTTAGGGCATGGGAGAAAAAAGAAAAAAAAAAAAACAGGAGACTGTAAAGGAAATAACGAAAATAACAAAGGCAGACAGAAAGATATCAAGAGCAGAGAGAGTTTCAATAGCAAAGATGATTTTAATCATATCATACTGCAAAGAAGTCAAATATGATAAGGAATTGAATGTGTTTATTAGATATAGCTGCAAAGCCGTCTTTGACTTTTTCCAGAACAATTTCAAGGAAGCTGTAGTGTAGAAGTCCGATTGCAGTGGGTTGAGTGTTAGATGGGAGGTGAGTGAATGGATATGCTAAGTGCATAACACTGTCAAGAACTTGCCTGTGAAGGGAAAAAGAGGGTCATTAGTTTTGTTTTTGTTTTTTTGTTTGTTTGTTTGTTTGCTTTAAAGGTAGATATGACTTGAGCACATTTAAATGCATACAGAGTGAGCCAATAAAGAGAAAGAGATCTAGTGAGATGACCTCCCTGAGGAGCAGGTGAAGCACAGGTGCAGGCCTAGCCTGAAAGAAGAGGTGGCACTTCTGTCTTCCACCACGGCAGGAAGGAGGCCATGACGGGTGTTGGTGATGGTTGGGACACAGGGATGCAGAAGCTTGAGGGAGTTCCATCATGCATAATTGCCTCTGTTTTCCCTCAAATAGAACTTACACTTACCTATGGTAAAGAAGGGGTGATGTGGAGGCTTGAGAAGGATGGCAAATTTGTTTTTTGTTGTTGTTCTTGTTGTTTTGAGACAGGATCTCACTTTGTCGCAGAGGCTGGAATCCCTCAGCCTCCCCAGTAGCTGGGACTACAGGTTCACACTACCATGCCTGGCTAATTTTTGTATTTTTTTGTGGAGACGGTGTTTCACCATGTTTCCCAGGCTAGTCTCAAATTCCTTGAGTCAAGCAGTCCGCCCACCTCAGCCTCCCAAAGTGCTGGGATTACAGGCATGAGCCACCGCGCCTGGCCACAGGAAGTTTTAAAAATAGCCACTTTGAGGAATAAATGAGAGAACAGACTGTGCACATGTACATTTTCTGGCCAATATTGAGATCTCAGTGAAGAGCCCGTGATTGTGTAGCGGTAGAAACTTGTGTGTCTGTGGGATTCCTCCAGTGGCACCCGGAAGCTGAAGCATAGGGAAGGCCATTGGCCCTGCCCATCAGGTTTTTAAATACATCTTTTTTCTAGGGATTCTTTGAACTAATACCACAGGATCTCATCAAAATTTTTGATGAAAATGAACTAGAGGTAAGACATAACATTTTACGTTGAAACAAATTTTGAACCCATTATTTTCCTTGTTTATAATTTGACATTTCTTACCTAGCTTCTTATGTGTGGACTGGGAGATGTCGATGTGAATGACTGGAGGGAACATACAAAGTATAAAAATGGCTACAGTGCAAATCATCAGGTTATACAGTGGTTTTGGAAGGTAATTTGAAACTTCTATTTTCGTAAATTACTTTTTGATAGATTGAATCATATTTAAGTCAACTCTTGATTAACTATACTGGTGGATTACATTTAACTGACACAGAAAAATATACAGACCAGCAAAAATGATCTTTGATTTTGTACCGTATACCTGCACCTTCTGGGTCTATAACTATTACTAGGTAAGTAAAATGTTCAGAAGGTAGTAAGTGGAATGACAGGCTGAGACAGGCACTTAGTTTTCTACTAAAGTAGGGACTCTGAAAGAACTTGTAATAACCTACAGGGTATTCCTAGGGACTCCTGAGTGGCTCTTTTAAAATGTCTCATAGAGAAATGTGTATGCCATTCAATAATATTAATATAATGTGTTTTTTGAGATGGAGTCTCGCTCTGTCTCCCAGGCTGGAGTGCAATGGTGCTATCTCAGCTCACTGCCACCTCCGCCTCCCATGTTCAAGCAATTCTCTTGCCTCAGCTTCCCGAGTAGCTGGGATTACAAGCATGCACCACCATGCCTGGTTAATTTTTTTGTATTTTTAGTAGAGACGGGTTTCACCATATTGGCCAGGCTGGTCTCAAACTCCTGACCTCAAGTGATCCGCCCACCTCAGCCTCCCAAAGTGCTGGGATTATAGGCATGAGCCACTGCGCCCAGCATATAAGTTTTAAAAGTCATGAGTCATATCTCAAGAGAAATTTTGTTACTTCATTAGGTTATAATTCCATTCTAAAAAGTTGCCATGTAGCCTTACAAATAAAGTTTTCAAGAACTTTATAACCCACCCATAAATAAAAATTTAACTAAAAGAAACATCCACATCTAGTAAGGGATTGTTAATATTCTAGCTAAATTCTGATAGCTTATGTTTCAGGATAATTTGTTTACCTTTTTCCCAGTGCTGTTCCCTAAATGATGTTTTTATCTTATTCAGGCTGTTTTAATGATGGATTCAGAAAAAAGAATAAGATTACTTCAGTTTGTCACTGGCACATCTCGGGTGCCTATGAATGGATTTGCTGAACTATATGGTAAGGATTTTCCATAGATCATTAAAAAAAATGGAGTGATGCCTATTGTCTTTTTCACGGCTGATGAATCCTCACGCTTCCATCATTTACTAACATTTAGCTTAATTTTAAAAAGAATTAAGATTTTGAAAGTGATATCATTAGAGACACTGGAGTAGGCTAAAATATATTTACACCTTCGAATCAGATAATAAAGGGGAAAACTGGAAACATCAAATGACTTGAGTCACTTTCCCTTCTTTAACTTCAGATTCTATGCCCCGTGTGCGTCAGTTACAGAAAAAGCATTACCTTGGCTGGGAGGGGTGGCTCACACCTGTAATCCTAGCACTTTGGGAGGCCGAGGCAGGCAGATCACTTGAGGTCAGGAGTTCAAGACGAGCCTGGCCAACACAGTGAAACCCCATCTCTACCCAAAAATACAAATATTAGCTGAGCTTGGTGGTGTGTGCCTGTAGTCCCAGCTACTCGGGAGGCTGAGGCAGGAGAATTGCTTGAACCCGGGAGGCGGAGGTTGCAGTGAGCCGAGATTGCACCACTGTAGTTCAGCCTGGGTGACAGACTGAGACCTTGTCTCAAAAAAAAAGAAAAAGCATTACTTCTCATGTGATAGTTCAGGATAGCATTTGAAGTTTCACAGAATGTCACTAAGCGTATTCAAGTTGAATACCTTTAGGGAAATGCTGGACTAAACAAAGTTAAATGGATTTCTTCAGGACTTGTGTAGAACCTTTACTGTTAGAAGAAAACAAAAGCATTGTTTCCCAAACTTATTTGATCATGAAATCTTTTTTTTTTTTTTTTTTTGCCTTTCAAGATAGGGGTAGAGAATCTCATTAGGCTACTATTTTTCATTTCCTGGGGGGAGCACCGGGACTGGGGAGAAGAGTGCCCATATTTCTTGATTTTTAGAATAGTTAATGCAGTTTTCAGTAAAGTAAGATTCTGTGTATTCTATCAAATTATTTTGCAGTTGATGTACAAAACTGGAGGTGTGTTTTGTTTAAAAGTGCCATTTCTGATGTAGATTGCAGCAACTTTTCTCACATTGATTCATATTCTGTTTATTGGAATGATATTTACTTGCTTTTAAGGATACCAAGAATCCAAGAATAAATCTTTTAGAAAGGATGTAGCTGAAGTGGGAGCCCTACTCAGAACAACGAGTAAGATTAGGATTGTCCTGGGGATTAGAAGTCGGGACTGCTGCCTAGGAAATCGCTAAGCTGAATTTGTTGTGCAAATAGAAGTTGACCATCTGATGGGATAGCTAAACCCTTTCTTCATGGCAAATCTGGTCAGCTTGCCAAGCCTCATTAATGTGTGTTTGCAGAACTGATCAAGCAGCTGCTACTTCTCTACCTAGAGTAACCACTCAAAAGTGGTTAGCTTTGTCACTGACCAATTCAGTCATTCTTTGCCTAATTGGACTTCATAGCCTCTTTCTTTTTCGTGGTTTCACCTGATTCCCCTTCCTCTCTCTTCTCTGCCTTAACCAGTTGGTAGTGAAAAATAAAGGCAGGGCAAACAAATGCCCCTTTCCATCTCTGGCCTCTCTTCCCTCTTTTATGTAACCCAGCCCTATAACCATCCACTGATTTCATGCACTGTTTGAAATTTGGGGCAGATATGCCACACATAGAGCCAGAGTTGTTTGTGTTAGAATATAAAGTCAAATTCTTATGTATTTATAGAAATAAGTTGTTTCAAAATGTTAAAATTACAATAGTAGATAGCCAATAAAAAGTATGTTAAGTTGGCTAGGTGCAGTAGCTCATGCCTGTAATCCCAACATTTTGGGAGGCTGAAGCAGGCAGATCACCTGAGGTCAGGCGTTCAAGACCAGCCTGGCCAACATGGTGAAACCCCGTGTCTACTAAAAATACAAAAATTAGCTGGGTGTGGTGGCACGCACCTGGAATCCCAGCTACTTGGGAGGCTGAGGCACAAGAATCATTTGCACCTAGGAGGCGGAGGTTGCAGTGAGCCGAGATCATGCCATTGTACTTCAGCCTGGGTGACAGAGTGAATGGCTTGTGGCCAGGAGTTCAAGACCAGCCTGGGCAACATAGTGAGACCCCCATCTCTACAAAGTGAATTTTTTTAAAAGTTAGCCAGGCATGGTGGTGCACACCTGTAGTCCTGGCTACTCAGGAGGCTAAAGCAAAAGGATCACTTGAGCGCAGGAGCTTGAGGCTATAGTGAGCTTGAATCATACCCTTGCACTCCAGCCTGGGTGACAGAGGGATACCCCATCTCTAAAATATAAATAAATAAATAAACCAGATTAGTTCCCTGTGTGTGTAGGTTCTACACTAGAAAAAGTTTCGATATGCCTGAAGATCCCTGTAGAGAGTAAATGAAACCAAATAAATTCTTCCTTATAGGTTCAAACGGACCACAGTCATTTACAGTTGAACAGTGGGGTACTCCTGAAAAGCTGCCAAGAGCTCATACCTGGTAAGCAGTTGTTTGGACCTTGATAGAACGAAGCCTCAGAGAGTGAGGTTCCTCTGACTGTTAGTCTAGCTACAGCAGGGCTAGTCTCCTCTGTGTTATGTCGGTGGCAGGTATGGATTGGGGTAAGGAGGAGTTGGTGACACTAACCCAACGAATGTGTGTTTTGTTACCAAGTCAGCCCGGGCTTGAAGTCCAGGTAGCTGAAGATCAGAGAGATCCATCTAAACTGAGTGCTGAATGATGGGCTATCCCAAGAGGGGCTAGAACATTCCATTTTGGAGGTTGAAATGAAAGAGGAACTCAGACATTTGGAAGATGTGGTGGGGGCAGGACTCCACAAGGAGTCATGCAGAGTATCCATGTCCAGAACCCAGTCCTACATCTTACTTCTACCCCTGGTGAAAAGACGTATTTTGGTGGTGGTGGCACATCCTCATCATGAATAGCAGCGTTGCTCTGTTTGCCGCTATTTCAGTGTCTTTCAGTGGTACCTGCTTTTTCAATGTCTTTCATAACCAGTTCCTCTCTCTTCTTCCAGTTTTAATCGCCTGGACCTGCCACCTTATGAATCATTTGAAGAATTATGGGATAAACTTCAGATGGCAATTGAAAACACACAGGGCTTTGATGGAGTTGATTAGATCACAAATAACAATCTATAGTGTTTTCACTGCCATAGTTTTATAACCAAAATCTTGACTTAAAATTTTCCAGGGAACTACTAAAACGTGGCCACTGATTCTTCCCAGATCTTGAAGAAAATCATATAAAAAGCATTTGAAGAAATAGTATGACAACTTATTTTCAATCACTTTTAAATAATGTGTTGCATTTACACAGTTGTTTCATTCTGTCCTTAGAGTTAGGTGCCTGCCTAAAGCCAGGTACCACCACGCCTGGCTTTAAAGTTCACACAATAGGATATAAGTCCTGTATGACTTAAATAGTGAATTTTGTCCTTAACATTTACCTCTTGTATAGTATCTGCCAGGCAGTTTTTTCTTAAACTACTGAGATGATAACTGTGAAATATTTGTGATAAGTGTCATGTGTGAAAAGTTTGATGCATTTTGAGATGGAAAACTGAAATTTGAAAAAAGAAATACTTTACTATTGAGTAAACTACAATATATTTAGTGCTACTCGCAGCTATTTATTATTTTGTACACCTGCCTTACGCACCTTACTGCCTAGATTTTTGGAAGAAAACCTTGGAAAGTGTGTTACCTATATTTCCAGCCAACTCACAGAAAAACTGTTTACTTCTTCACTTTCAAAGTATTTGGCTTTTGTTAATATGCAGTTTTTACTAAACAGGTGGTTCATAAGACATGTGAAGCAAATCCATATTTGCAATGGGTAAAAAAAGTATTAAAGCCTTTTTCTCTTGCCTGCATATCCTCTTGACCATTGGCATAGTCATCACTTTTTCATTTTAGTGTAGTTAGAAGAATTCCTTCTTCAAACATTAAAGATCCACACAGCAGTATTTCTAAGTATGCCTTGAAGAACTAAATGAAGTGGATAGCACTTGCCTTTACTAGACATTCTTTACGCTTGTACAATTATGTAGTAAATGTATGTTTACAGGGTTTATTATGTTTACAGATTAAGCTAATTTCTGTAGTCGCATTTTTATATTTTTAGTATCACTCTAGTAAAAAAAAAAAACCAAATGATTTGTTTAAAGTAACCAAAGAGTTGTTATAATGCATAATTTGTATTAAATGTATTACTATTTCTTATGCCTTTTAAAAATCATGTTTACTATGAAGACAATGTTTTTATTACAAATCCAGAACTCTCTAGGCAAAATGCTACAGTTCGCATCTTCCTTTAACCAAACTCAAGTACGTAAAGACCATGTACATGTGTTCATCAAATATTTATTGAATGCTGCGTGCATAGCGCTGTGCTGTGCTCTGGGGTAAGAGTTGTCAGCTTCAGAGAAGCTGAGTCCTGATCCTCAAAGGAATTTGCAAATGTGTCAATGAATTTGTAAAACAATCAAAAGTAGGGGTAAGCAGAATAAGGCAAAAGGGAAAGTGTTCTAGGTTCCAGCACACCTGCAAAGATAAAGTATGCCAAGACTGTATTTATATTTCATACTTACATTGTTTCATCCTTACATTGGAATGATTATATAGAAAATGCTCTTAAAAAGATTAAACCCGTTTCTCAGTATGGTATCTTGGTGATTTAGGAATAATTGTAAATATATGTTGTGAATCTTCTTAAATATATATATACACCCTGTGAGAACTGTAAAAAGTACCTTGGTTCTTGGTTTAAGTTTGTTGGGGTATAACATGATGAGTACTCATTAGCACCTGATAGAAATCTGAAATACGACAGTAGCAAAACCACTTTCTGCTTTCCAAATACCGCATCATCAGCATGGTTTAGGGGAAGCAATTCACAGATTAACATACCCTGCGTTTTGTCTTCACCATTGTCAACCAGCAGTCAAGGATGAGCGCCAGGTATAGTCCTGGTTTGATCTCTCACCAGCCATGTGAACTGAAGCAGCTTACTTAACCTCTCTGGATTCATATTTCTTCGTCTGTCAAATGAGAATAATCATGCCCACCCTCAATGTCATGCCAGATTGTCATAAGTTCCAGACAGATGAGAAAGCAAAAAGTACTTTGTAAAGTGTTATACAATCAGAAGGTGCTTTGCGCTGACCGTCAGATTGTGTCAAGTCAGGTGTGCAAATTGACCACACTCCCAAAGAATCATTTAAAAGTAAAGTGACTTCTAAGAGACAAGGAAGTAGGAGCATATCTGATATTAAATATATAAATAAATATGGATACACATGTGTATATCTGTATATGGATCTTACCATCATAATTCATTTTCTTCGTATCAGCAAAGTAATAGTAATGTGGGCCAATGCATTTTGGAAATGTCCTCATTATGTAGAATGGAATGTGAAAATTATTTTTGTTTAAAAAGGATTTTGCTGCAATTATTTAAATATTATGTTTGTGAAGTATCTCAGCATGAGAAAATACAAAGCTTTCTTTTTATCTGGCTGATACTCATTTGGATGATTCTGTGACTCATAGAACACGGTGTTAATGAGACCAGACTCACTGCCACCAGTCCCCAGCTGCAGACCTTCATCCCCTTCGTCTCCCACTGGGGGCTCATGGTCCGGAAGGAATGTGTATCAAGCAACACAGGCCCTTATCCCATATAGAAAAGTGTCTCAAATGCATTCTACTGCTGGACAGTCAGTAGGATCATTTTCATAAAGCAAGGACATCATGTGTTTCTAGAAATTATAAGCATATAACTTTAACCTACAATCTCTAATTAAAAAATTGTAACATAAAATTGTATTACAAATACATTTCATCAGAACTCAAATTTAAATGGTGTTTGTGTTAGGTTTTTATTTATAATACTGAAGTTATTCCATATAAGTATCAAGTTAAATACAATTCATTTTGACTACAAACTGTTTGACTTTTTAAAATCTTCTGATATGGTAAATATATGTATCAAGATTGATGTATCGAAATTTATTGCACACTTTATAAAATCACTTTTTAAAATGTTGAATCCACAAATAAAGTTTATTCTGATTTAAAAAATAAAAATAAAAACACAGCTGTGGTTCATTATAAAATAGGAGTGTTTCCAAGCCAGTATGCTGGGTGATGTCTTCTGGTCTAGTTCCTTACAGCAACACGTTAAATTCTCAATGCAATCCTAAACTTATTACCTGATGAACCAACATGATTATAAACTCTCAACCACAGATAATCAATTTCCACTTTACAAAAAGGTCATATTGCGTAAGTCTAGTTGTTAGTGAAATATCCAGAAGATAAAATTAACAGTTAAAAATGGACTGGATTTCAGGCACCTTGCTGCTCATCAGAGAAGCCAGTCTTGTAGCCAACCACTATTTATGACATCATTTCTATGAGAAAAAGAGTTCCGAGTGTTAATTCAGAACGAAATGTCTTTTCCTCCTTCCTCTCAGGCATGAGAATTAGTTTCCCAGTTAGAAGGGAGTCCACTCCCACCCACTCAAGCCAGCCTGGGAAGGTGCTGTTCCAGCCCCACGTTTCTGCCACAATCCAGACCATAGCTTTTAATTCGGGGGGCTCAGGCCATGGCCCTCTGCTTCCACCCTTCGTGTTCTAGCCAGCTTGGACAGCAGCTAACCCATACCATGCCCCACTTGTACAAGAAGTCCTTGTTTTGCTGTCCATCACGGCAGATATTTATTTTATAAGTGATATTAAACTAAGATACTAGAATGTCAGGACCTCACTATGAAGAGTCTTAGTAGATTTTTGTGTATTTTCCTTGTAAGTTAAAGCCTATCACTACACTAGCCTCCTGCTTCTGTTCCACTCATCTCTTCCCCTGCAATGCATCCTACACAGTACCTCCATCACAACCCGTGTTTCCTTTTTAGCACACAGATTTGATCAGGTTACTGTACCGCCAGAAAACCTGAGAGCTCCCCAGAGCCAAAAGCATGAAGCACAAGCCCGTTAGCATGGAGGCTGGCATGGAGTGCAGTCCATCCTCAGCCTAAGGTCTCAGTTCCACCTGCCATCATACCTCACTCAGGCGCCCTTGGTTCCCCTCCGGATCAGAGTCCTTCCAGCCCCTAATCACTGCAGACTCAGTGCCACCTCAGTGCTTTCGCTTCTCATGTCTACTTGAGTAAGTCACTCCACTTTCTGGACACAGTGGAAAGGTGCTGTGGCCTCAGCAGTTGGTATATACTAGTGTAGAAGACATTGCATTACACTTCTTTGTTTACGTAATTCTGTCCTACAAACTTCTGGGCAGTTTGAGGACAAACACAATTCTGTATCCATCTTTTTCATATGTTCATTTCCCAATGCAAATATTGGATGAATCTGAGCTTAAAAAGACTATTTGTGTATAGAATCCATTTGGGAGCACGTATGGTGTGCCTGGAACTGCAAAAATGTGCAGGAGCTCTGTATTTAGGTGGACATTGGGGACTACGTAAATATTCAAGCAGAGAGGGAGCTTGATTGAGATCCTGCTGAGTGCGGGGTTCTGCAATAAACACTTTATGTGGATCTCATTTAATCTTCATAAAAACTCAGTGAGGCAAGTTTTAATAGGCTCAAGGACAAGTAAGACACCTAAGGCCACACAGCTTGTAAACTCAGTGGATTTAGGAACCACAACAAAGAAAAGCTATGGAATCCAACAAATTACCAAGATGTATCCATTTTCTTGGGCTGCACAACAAATTGCCATAAACTTAGCAGCTAAAAACAATACCCATTTATGATCTCAGAGTTCTGTAGGTCACAAGTGCACATGGTCTTAGCTTAGGGTTCTCTGCTCAGGGTCTCTCAAAGCCAAAATCATGGTGTCGGGGCTATTGCCTGCATCCACAATCTTTCCGATTATTGGCAGAATCCAGGTCCTAGTAGCTGCAGGTCTGAAGTCCTTGTTTTCTTGCTGGATGGCAGCTGGGGGGCACTCTTAACTTTCGGACGTCACCCACATTCCTCATGGATTGGCCCTCTCTCCCTCTTCAAGCCAACAATGCCTCTCTTGCTTCTAATCTCTGATTTCCCATTTGGCTGCCCTCTTCTGCCACCAGACCGAGAAAGTTCTCTGCATTTCAAGATTTATTTGAATAGATCGGGCCCACCTGAGTAGTTTTCCTTTTTGAAAACTGACTGTACTGGCCAGATATGGGGGCTCACGCCTATAATCCCAGCCCTTTGAGAGGCCGAGGCAGGTGGATCACCTGAGGTCAAGAGTTTGAGACCAGCCTGACCAATATGGCAAAACCCTGTCTACTAAAAATACAAAACCTAGCCAGGCGTGGTGGCGCATGCCTGTAATCCCAGCTACTTGGGAGGCTGAGGCAGGAGAATCACTTGAACCCAGGAGGTGGAAGTTGCAGTGAGCCAAGATCATGCCATTGCACTCCAGCCTGGGTGACAAGAGTGAAACTCTGACTCAAAAAAAGAAAAAAAACGAGGCGGCGCCGTGGCTCAAGTCTGTAATCCCTGCACTTTGGGAGGC